TATATATATATATATATATATATATATATATATATATGCATTTCGAAAGAGGATGTGCTTCCGCAAAGCGGCATATGTAAATAGCGGAACGATCGCATACACGTGCGACTTATGAAAGCATGCGTGATTAACCCTGTAAACTTTGGACTTCGGCCGCGTACAGCCTTGATCTTCCAGCGCGTGTGGGCTGCTCGTGTCCGCGTGAATGCGTTTCTTACTTTTCTGCGTGGCGGGAGAACGAGACGTCTCTTTCTTTCCCTCTCTTTCGTCGCTGCCGCCGTGTCGTAGTCGTCATCCTCTGACCCGCACGACGCGACCACGTGCCGGCCGGTCGCGATGACGTCACGCTTCCGATACGTGATTTCCTGGTACCGGACGACCGTTGGCGGATGAGAGAGGAGTTAAGTGCCGGACACGGGAGGTTCGTGCCACCTCCTCTGCGCGAGCGTCTCTCGCGTCTTCCGGAGCGGAAAGGATAATGAGTGCCCCGCGAACGAACATTTTAGCTAGCGGAAAGACGGCGGTCGCGATTCCAGCGTCTTCGCAGTTGTGTCTTATTTTTTTTTCTTTTAAGTAAATTGAAAAAAATCGAAATCTATCTCAATTTTAGATTAATTCGCCGCGGAGCAAAACGTTTTATTTTCGATTTCGCGTGGCTTTTGACTCGACAATTTTTTATCAAATTTATAAGTAACGCTATCGGCAGAAAATTGCAAGGCGACAAGGCTGTAGATCCTATTTGGCAATTCGTTATCGTTGCGTGAGAGAGTAGCCAGACGATCACGGACAGTGTGCCTGACGAGTGTATCTTTCGTTTGCAGCGTGTGGCGAACCAGGCGCTTACCGTTTCGCCACAGCCGGCAATAACGGTGGAGGGGCCGGTGTCCAAAATGTCTCCACCGACGAACGACGTGAACAACGGTGTGGTAGCGTCTCCCAGCACTCTGGCGCCTCGGGTTCCACCGACCACGAACCCGTCCCTCACCAACCCACCGACGCACAAGCGTACCCCGAAGGATTTCATCTTCGGCAAGGTGATCGGCGAAGGAAGCTTCTCCACCGTAAGTCTCTCTTCTATATAAATTTAAAAGATTATAAAATCATTATAAACAAATAAAACATTTTTTTAAATAAAAATATACGTAGAGAGAAGATATAAAATGCGCGATTCTTTGATTCGACAGGTTTATCTTGCCAAGGATATCCACACCAACAAGGAATACGCGATCAAGGTGTGCGATAAGAGTCACATAATCAAGCAGAAGAAGACCGAGTATGTGAAGCGTGAGAAGGAGGTGTTGAACATGCTCGCGGATGCCAAGCATTCATTCGTGCGCCTGTTCTGCACCTTCCAGGACGCGGAGAGACTATACTTTGTCATGTCGTACGCTAAGAATGGCGAGCTCCTGCCTCACATCAACAAGGTGGGCTCCTTCGACATCGAATGCACTAAATTCTACTCGGCCGAAATCCTACGCGGTCTTGAGTATTTGCACGGGCTCGGTATCATTCACCGAGATCTCAAGCCGGAGAACATCCTGTTGGACGAGAAGATGCACATCCTTATCACCGATTTCGGTTGTGCCAAGATCCTCAAGGATGACCCGGAGACACCTGCGTTGGACTCGGACGCTCCTCAACAACAACAACAACAACAGCAGCGTTTTAGAGAACGCAGCGGCTCCTTCGTTGGTACCGCTCAGTACGTGTCACCAGAACTACTGACCAACAACAGGGTGAGCAGAGCGTCCGATCTTTGGGCCCTGGGCTGTCTCGTTTACCAGATGGTCGCCGGCCTGCCGCCCTTCCGCTCGAAAAGCGAGTACCAGATGTTCCAGAAAATCCTGAAACTCGATTATGATATACCGGACGGTTTCTGTCCGCTAGCACGGTCGTTCGTTAATCAACTTTTGGTTTTGGAGCCGACGCAACGACTGGGCGCTTTGGACGAGCACGGTGCCGGTTATCCCAGCATCCGGGCGCATCCCTTCTTCGAGGGCGTCGACTTTGAGACCCTTCACGAGCAAACCCCACCGCCGATTTATCCGTATCTACCCGGCACTTCGGAGCGTGAGGAGTTGAGGTCGCAATATAAGGTGCCTGATAATCTTGAGCCTGGTTTAGACCATAAGCAGCTCACTAGGCTCCTCTGGACGAACACTGATGAGATCAACGATGACAATGAGACCACTGGCGCAGAGAACGCATTCTTCAGCGAAATCATCGTAGAGAAACCACTGAGGAGATATATCAACAGACCAGAGAGCAGCACCAATATTGCCAATCTGACGCCGGAACAGATCAGAATGCGACTAGAGAAGCAACGCGCCACGAATCAGTGGCATCCTTTCGTCGATGACAATCTGATATTGAAGCAAGGCTTTGTCAATAAGAGGAAAGGCCTGTTCGCCAGACGGAGAATGCTTCTCCTCACTACCGGACCACACCTATATTACGTTGATCCTTACAACATGGTACTCAAGGGTGAGATACCCTGGAGTCCCGAAATGAAGATCGAGCCAAAGAATTTCAAGATTTTCTTCGTCCACACGGTAAGCACTTTTAGAATATTGTTAAATAAAAATTAAATTATTACACATCCAGTGCCTTTATATTTCTCTGATAAAAGATGGAGATTTAAGTTGTCTCATTTTTCAATGTCTCAAATTGTTTTTAATTTGTATTTATACTAAACGTATGAAGAAAATTTGCAGGAATGCACACTGAATATGTCTAAACTTTTCTTTTTGTTTATAGCCAAACAGAACGTACTATCTCGAAGATCCCGAAGGATTTGCATTAGAGTGGTGCAGAGCAATCGAGGAGACTCGTGTCCACTGTTACGGCCTGCAAAAGATGACCACCGCTTAAAATAGAAAAAGGACACTTAAAAGAGATCTAAAAGACAGAACATATAAAATAATAAAGTCCGCGAGTAGCGATCGCTAAGGTCGATTTGTTCCCGACGAGAAGCGCTGGCGAATCGATTGTTCGCGTATTAGCCTATTGTAAAAAGTAGACTAATAGAGTTATCACGCACTTGCGCGCTTTGTACAGGTTAGGCAAAAATTCATTAGGCAAAAAAATTCCGAAATCGCAATTTCCGTTATCGATAAGCATTGTCGCGTCGGTTTATTATCGTTTACGTTCACTATTTATTGACGATCCTTTAGAGAATCACATCATTCGCGAGAATTGCGCGATACGTGCGCAAAATAATGAAAATATTAGCGATTAGAGAAATTTTTAGCCAAGATTTCAGCTGCATATCCGCAGCGTCTATAGCCATGTGACGTAACTCGCGTGAGATCGGGGTCGCCCGGGGCAAAAGAAAATAAAGTTTACGCACTCGTAAATTTCGATGTTTACAATTCTTGGCGATATGCATAATTCGGATCCCACGCACGACAAATTTTCACGCGAATTGATTTTCGAAGAAAGAAAAAAAAAGGGAGAGACCGGATCCAGAAAAAATTTTCCCGCCCAGAGGCGCCTTGATCATGCAAAACACGTTTCGCACGGCACTATTATAGTTCTTTATTCTTAAATCTCATAGTGAAATTCAACATACGCGACAAAAGCGCGATATATATTTAGAAAAATGAAATTAAAAGCTGCGCGTGGCCGCAGGCGTGTCGTACGTCGCCGCGCGAGTTTAGACGTCAATTTAGCCGTAATTAGCCAAAAAGAGAAAAGGAAAACGAAAAAGATGATGAAGAATAACGATTCACTGTGCAGCTTTAACGAAACAGTTTTTTACGTCGCTTGTAAAGGATTTCCGGAATCTCGCGACATTCCGGACGATCTTTGCTCTCTTCGCGATGTACAGACAGTATTCTTCGTAACGTTTCATCGTCATCCCATTCCCTCACGTTCGTACTCTCGTTTCCCTTTCTCGTAAATATTTTCTGTAAATATCATGAGGCGTTTCTACGAAGAGCAAGCCGACGTAAAAACACTTTGTAATATAGTAGATACGTAAGTAGAAGAAAAATGAGAAGTATCGTTATTCTGTCACGATGTTTTTCGTTCGCTTAATTAAACACTTCTCGTCGTCTGGCTCTCGCGGACTCGAGCATGCGATATGTGATTCAGTGGGGAATATCGACGAAAGGGAGAGCTCGGTATTCTCCTTTGAGAACGTTCGTACGAAGAGGAAGCGACGAAGAAAAGGGGCACAGAGAACAACTTCACTTTGCCTCCCACTGAAGACTTTTACACGCCTGAGAAAGGACTCTAGACAGTAAAATAAACTCGTTTGATAGCTTTAAGAGACGCTATAGTAAAATCCATTTCATTTAGAGCGTATCATCAATTGGTGGTTATGTCGTTGTCATTAGTGTGATTATTTACAGTACATGATTTGTAGAGTTCAAGCGAAAAATTATCGTCCGCTGTGTTGCGAATTGTTGCAACTGGCGACGCGTACGAGTATTACGAGTATTCATTTTCCTCGCATATACATATATAAATTAGATATTTAATTAGAACACAAGGCCTCGCGCTTCGTTAATTTATTCCTACCGTTACTTGCCTCGAATTATTTATTCTCGTTTTCCCTTTATTCTCGTTTTAAATATCGTGCGTGAGGACCGCGATGTTCATAGACATAGAGATTACAGACTAGTTAACTATATCTCGCTACACCGTTCTGCGATTATATATTTGCGATATATTATTAGTATAGTGCTATTACTACTATTAACTACTATTACCGTCACCACTGCGTTGTTGCTACGTTACTGCGTACATATATATATATTATATATATTCTATATTACGTCAACTATTGCCGTTAGACTTAGCTGTTTTTAGGTATATACGTTTATTGCGAATACGTACTACCGCGTTGATAAAAGAGAGAAGAAAAGGATAGAATCGAGACGCGATTTGATCCGTGATATTGCGAGCGAGCCGCAGTCCGATCGTGTATAAAGTTGTATATTACTAAACATGCAAATATTTATATATATAAATATTATACGTATATATAAAATATTTATAAAATGTGAATATAGTTTATTAGGGAAAGAAACTCTGTACATACATGTTCATAGGATAAAAATCG